GGGGCCGCCATCCGTGCGCGCGTGACTGCCATATGCGTCGAGGACGGGCGTCCGCGCGGGAGGGCTGGACCTTCCTCCTCCTCCTCCTCCTCCTCCTCCTCCTCCTCACCTCCTCCTCCTCCTCCTCCTCGTCCACCTCCTCGTCCTCCTCCTCCTCCTCCTCATCCTTACTCCTCCTCCTCCTCCTTCCTCCTTCTCCTCCTCCTCCTCCTCCTCCTCCTCGTGAGGGGGGTCAGCAAGGAGGAGGAGGAGGCCGTCTCAGCAGGCGGCGGGACTTCTCAGAAGTCCTCGGGCCTTCCGAGAGGTTTGTCGTGTCTTCTGGGGAGGCTCAAAAAGGCTTGTCTGGAGTCGCGGGGCCTTCGGGGCCTTTGAGAGCGCCGCCCATTCTCACTACAGTGCCGTTTTTAATGCATGCTCCGCGTGCGGATCATGTATTCAAAATGCGGATTTAGTAGTAAAAACAACGATGAATTCACGCATACATTTATTCATCATGTATTAAAAAAAAGCCCTTTTTTAACAAAAACAACTGTGTATCAAAACCTGCCCTGTACCCCGCCTGGAGCTCGCTGCCGAGAGGAGGGCGGGGGTTTTGACTCCCTCCCTTTTTTGCCAGGCGGGCAGGGGGGAAGGGGGGCGGTTTCGGGACGGTCGGGATGTCGGGGGGGAGTGGAAAGTCTCCCCCCCTCTACCACAAGCGATCACAGAGCGCGTTCTTTCGAAATCAGCGCTGCCCCTGTTCAGATCGAACAGTTGTCCCTTGGGGTCCTCTTGGGGCGCTCTTGTGGCCATGTGGGGCAATCCTGCGCTGCTTTTGGGCTCTCATGAGCCAACTTGCAGCCATCTTGAGGCCTCAAAAGGCTCATCGGAAGCCAAAAGGGCGAGAAGGCAGCAACACTTGTTTTCCATTTGGGAAGGGTCGCATGTAGCCGTCGTTGGGGGTGTCTTGTGGCCTCGTGGAGGCGTGTTGGAGGAGTGGCCAGATCAGAGGCTGTCTTAAAGGCCCTCTCAGAGCCATTTGGGCCTATCTGAAGCCCTCTTGGAGCCATGTTGGACGCCCCAACCCTTCCCGGGGCACCCCTGTCCAGATCCATGGGAGGAGGCTGGGGGTTGGGGACACAAGGAACCCAGACCCCCGACGTCATGATTTTTTCATGACGCGACCCCCAGAGGTCCGGACCGATTCCCCGGGACCGGTTTTTCATTCTGAGTCGTTTTTTGACGGTCCTGAGGGCCGGTAAGGGCCCCCGGAGGCCGACAATAGCGAAAAACTTGCCGTCGTGATTTTTTCATGACTCGAGGGGGTCTGGGAAGCATACATTGGGATGAATCTGCCCAATCTCCTCCCTCCCAGAAGGGGACGGGGGAGGTTGGAACAACCTCGTCGCTGAACCGCCTACGCCGAGTGGGCGTGTTGGATTTTCCCCAGGTTGGGGCGCAGCCACCCCCCTGGGCCCAACGGCCGATGGCGTCCAGAGGGCTCATCCGGCCCGTCGCCTTGCGGGCCAGTGGCGAATCGGCGCGAATTCGCCGGGCACCTCTCGGACAGGGCCAGGACTCCTCATCCTCCTCCTCCTCCTCCTCCTCCTCCTCCTCCTCCTCCTCCTTCCTCCTTCCTCCTCCTCCTCCTCCTCCTCCTCCTCCACGTCCTCCTTCTCCTCCGAGGATAACTCCGTTCCAGGGCGTCGGTCCAGAACGCTCTCAGAACGCTCCGAGAAGGCCGCGGCGCTCGACGCGTCCGCCCGCCCCGCCAGATCTCGGAGATCCCCTATGCATCACTACCCGAGTGTATCCTCGTCCTGGCTTCGGCTTACTTTTCCATCCCCCCCGTTCCCTCTTTGTCCTCTCTGCGGCCCCCTCCCTTCTCCTCTGGACAGCAGCAGCGCCGCTGAAAAAGCAACCGTGCCTCGGCTGCACGTGCTCCGATCTGCTGCTCTCTCTTTTGGGTCTGCCGTCTGCTTCTGCCGATCCGTGCCACGATTGGTTAGGCTTTTCAAGCTGCAGTTATCGAAGAGGCCCACGGCGAATCACCTCCGTCCCCTGCCCCTTTGGAAGCGCCTCTGTGGCCGACAGCTGGGGCAGAGCTTGGCCAAGTTATCGGGCCAGTTGTTCCCCGAGCCAGTTTGGAAAGACTTCGGGGAACGCATGGGGGAGCAAAAAGAGGAAGAGGAGGAGGATGAGGAAAAAAAAAGAGGAGGAGGAGGAGGAGGAGGAGGAGGAGGAGGAGGAGGAGGCGGCCTCTTGGGCGCCTCTTGGGGCACTCTTGGGGCCTCCTGGGAGCTTCCTGGGGGCCTCTAGGATGGTTTTTGGAGGCCTTTGGGGGCTTCTTGGGGGCCTCTTTGGCCGTCTTAGGGCGTTCCTGGCTTGTCTGACGCCATCGGACGTCGTCTTGGGGGCCTGTCTGGGTCGTTTTGGGGCCCTCTTGGGGCATACCAGGAGTTCTCAGATGCCATCTTGGGCGTCTTGGAGGCCTCTTGGGCCGTGCTGGGGCCTCTTGGGGTTGTCTGGGGAGCCTTTGGGGCCGTCATGGTGCCATCTTGGAGGCCTCTTGGGCGATCCTGGGAGCCTCTTGCGCCTTCTTGAGCCGTCGGACTCCCGCGAACAAGCAACTGTCAAAATCCTTGACAAACCTTAGGAACATCAATGATTTTGGCCTCGTCGTGCCCTCCTGGGAAACCTTCTGGGCGCCTTTTCGGCCGTCTTGGAGGCCTTGTTGGGGCCTCTTGGGCCGTCTTGGGCCATCTTGAGGCCATCTTAGGCCGTCTTGGGTGCATATTGGGCCGTCTTGGAGGCATCTTGGGGCCATCTTTGCCGTCCTGGAGGCCATTTGGGCCGTCATGGGGCCATCTTGGAGGCCTCGTGGGCGATCGTGGAGGCCTCTTGGGCCGTCTTGAGCCGTCGGAAGGCCGAACAGAAGCAAATGCAAACATCCTTCAAACACCAACGGAAAATCTATGATTTGGGCCTCTTGGGGCCCTCCTGGAGGACCTCTGGGAGGCCTCTTGGGCCGTCTTGGAGGCCTCTTGGGGGCCTCTGGGGCCGTCTTCGGCCATCTTGAGGCCATCTCAGGCCGTCTTGGGTGCATCTTGGGCCGTGTTGGAGGCATCTTGGGGCCATTTTAACAGTCTTGGAGGCCATCTTGGGCGTCTTGGAGGCCTCTCAGGCCGTCTTGGGGTCCTCTTGGGTCCGTTTTGGGGGCCTCTTGGGTCGTCATTGAGCCATTTTGGAGGCCTCGTGGGCGATCTTGGGGCGATCGTGGAGGCCTCTTGGGCCGTCTTGAGCCGTCAGAAGGCCGAACAGAAGCAAATGCCAACATCCTTCAAAAACCAGCGGAAAATCAATGATTTGGGCCTCTTCGGCCCCTTTGGAGGATCTCTTGGAGGCGTCTTGGGCTGTCTTGGAAGACTCTGATGGGCCTCTGGGGCCGTCTTCGGCCATCTTGAGGCCATCTGATGCCGTCTTGGGTGCATCTTGGGCCGTCTTGGAGGCATCTTGGGGATATCTTAGCCGTCTCGTAGGCCATCTTAAGCCGTCTTGGCACCGTCCGGAGCAGGAAAATCCTTTGGCAACCACCTCTGGAAGATCTTTCTGGGTGGCCTGCGGGACGGGCCGAAGCCCCAGGGAGAGTTCTTTTGGAAAAAGAACCAAAACCAAAACCGAAAGGATCTAGCACGACAGGCACCCCTGCGATGAATCGACAGGGGGCGGCGGATCGAATGGCCTTCGGCCCATCCCACCAGCGTGCCTAGGCGTCGCTGTGCGACCGCCCTAGACTGCCTGGCTGGGCATCGCGACGGCTCTACACCGCCGCCGCCTCCTCCTCCTCCTCCTCCTCCTCCTCCTCGTCCTCCTCCTCCTCCTCCTCCTCCTCGTCCTCCTCCTCTTCCTCCTCCACAATTACTCAATATGAATACTACTCTCCCTCTTCCCCTGATGGCGTGCTGGGAGTGGCCGACCCCCCCCCGCGTACTGTCTTTTTACACACAGGATTCCCGGGAGTTGGGTTTTTGCCTGCTTTTTTTCAAAATGCTGCTCTCGCTGAGGCGCCGGCCTCATTTCTGCTCCGGAATCGTTCCGAATCGTGCTCCCGCTGCAGCGTGGGCCTCATTTTCGGATCGGTGTTTGGCCTCCGTCGTTCAGGATGGCGTTCTCGCCCCAGCGCGGGCCTCTTTCTCGCGCGCCCATCCGCCCGCCACCACCGCGCCACACCACCACCACCACCACCACCACCACCACCACAACCACCAGCAGCAGCACCACCACCACCACCAGCAGCACCACCACCACCACCACCACCACCACCACCACCACCACCACCACCACCACCACAACCACAACCACAACCACGCACACACGCACGCACGCACGCACGCGCACCACCACCCACTACGCACGCGCGCGCGGAGCCACAGGTCCGCTACGACACGCGTCCGCGGATAGAGAAAATCAGCGCCATGGTAAGGGATGGGAGGGAGGGGTAGGACGTCAGATATGACGCGAGCGCACCTAGCTTGTCCTCCTCCCCCTCCCCCTCCCCTCCTCCTCCTCCTCCTCCTCCTCCTCCTCCTCCTCCTCCTCCTCCTCCTCCTCCTGCTCCTCCTCCTGCCCCTTCTCCTCCTCCCAGTCACTCAGTGCGAGTGGCGTTGGCGTGCCCACAGGCCTGCCTCTCACCTCGGCCCTGCCCTGGGCGCGGGACCGGCACGCCAGTTGTCCAGCTGCCACGTCTGCGTCGGGTGGCCCGGGCGCCTCGTGCCCAAGACAAGCCGCGCCAGCCGCTGCCGCGCGTGGTGCCCGCACCGCTTCGCCAGACCCAGGGGCCAGTTTTCCAGCGGACGTGGCCTTGGTCAGTGACTGCCTGGGCGCCGACCTGGGTCGTCAGCTGTGCCGCCGCGTGCCCGCCGCGTCGGGCGTCCACGAGGTCATGTCCTCTTCGTGCGCGCCTGCCGCACTGTGCACGCTTCCAGCCGCTGGCGGTTTGCTGCCGCCGGTGTCCTTGGCCCTCATTTGGCATCAGCTGCAAGGGCGGGCATCGTGCCGCCTGCGGCCGCCGCGGCATTGGCTGCACGTCTGGCGGCGAAGGCGCGGACGGCAAGCTCCGCCTGGTAGGCTCGCGGTCTCTTTGCAGGCCTGGCTGCCGCACTCGGGTGCCCCGCTGTTGCCCACGTGGGCCCCCTCGCCCGCCCACCTGTCGGAGCCCCTGCTGGCCAGTGCCGCGCACCGCCCCCGCTGGTCCAATGCCAACGCCCTCCAGTTGGAGCCAGATGCGGTGCCGCACGTCCGCGGTCGGCCTCGCCGAGCTCGTGCACCGCGCCCGCCCCGCTTCAACGCCACCGACCACCGCCTGCCATTCCAACGCGCGAGTGGATGGGCGACATCGCGTGCTCCGGCGCTTCGGCGGCGCCGTGCAGCTCCGCTCGATCGGTGTTCCGCTGGACTGGCGGGTACACCGGCAGGTGGCCCCCAGGCGATTGCAGCCTCCTCGGCGGCACCCTCCGCTGCCGCCTGCTGCGCTGCCCGGCCCGCGCGGCCCAGCCAGCGCCAGTCGCCCTTCGGCGCGCTGTCCGTCGCGACGTCGCCGGTGAGCACGTGCGCGCCTTCAGCATTGGCCGGGAAGGCGATGCTATCTTGCGGCTGGAAAGGGCGCTGCATTCCTGAGTGTGGCGCCATGCCGCGCTCCAACAGCAGCCTGTTCTCGCTGTTGGCGATGGCGTGCTGCCACGTCGGTGGCATGGCCAGCCTGTGAGGTCGCGTCTCTGACCGAGGCGGTGATGCGCGGAGCCGAGGGTATTGACTCCAGCTTGGCGGCACACTTGGCAGCGCGCGTCGCTTGTCAACCCTGTGGCATGCGCTCGCTCTTGCGTCCACGGGCCAGCTGTGACCGCTCTGGATGCTGCTGCGACGCCCACGCACCATGCCGATCTGTGCGCAGCGAACCTCGCGCAAGGGCTCCGCGAACGGCATCGGGTGCAAGGCGTGCCGGGCGGGGTCCTCAGCCACCCATTGTTCCCACGTGGCTCGTTCAGCGTCCCATGTGGCCTGCGCCCGGACGTCGCGCGGGCAAGTGTTGAGCACATCCATGGTGATGCCATCTCTCGGGATGAAGGTGCCCCATGCTGGCCACGACAATCCGATCTCGTGCGTGGCAAGGACGACCGAGGAGGCGGGCCCCTTGACTCCACACCAGGTTTTGTCTCCCCTCAACGCCTGCTGTCGTCTCCAGGCCGCGCGCTGGGTTTCGCGGCTAGCGACGCCATCCCATGCTTGCGCCGCACACTCCCCAATGGGCGCAGCGCGGCATCCTGGGCCCAGGTCCTCGACCGAGCAGGCCAGGCGCAGGAACATCATGCTCTTGAACCTCGCCTTGCATGGCAGCGCACTGCTGACCATGCTGCGCACTCGCTGGAGGTCAGCCAGCGAGTGGACCAGGGTCTTGTGCCCGAAGTTGGCTGCAGCAGGCTTGAAGGCGATTTTGGCGACCTTCCAGATCTGCCCTCCCAATGCTTTCGCTCGCTGGGGCCTGCGGGAACGATCCGCCATAGCCTTCAATCTGCCGCTGCGGACTGGCAGCCGCCTCTGAACAGCGCGCGCTGGCTGGCGAACAACGTCCTCGCCAATCCTGTCGATGCCAAGTTGCCTCGCGTTCTTGACAACCGCCACTCCAGGACGCCCCAGCCGGCATCATGGAGCAGCCGCCAGCCACGAAGACGGCCCCAGCACGATTGGTTTGCCCTCCGCCCCCTGCGTGGCGATGCTGACTTCTAGGTCCAGCTCGTCTTGCGAGTAGCCAACGAGCCGTGCCGCGGTCTCGGCAGTGTCGTCCGCGATGTGCTTCGCCTTGCCGCCCTTGGCCAGGGTGAGATCGTCGGCGTCCTTGCTCAGCGACAGCGCGCCGAGCACGCCGAGCCGACCACTGCTCGTGCCTCGTCGCCACGGCTGGCATCTTTTTGTTTCGGTGGTCTGGCCAGAACGAACCCCAGGGAAGGTCTGCGGGGTAGCAGTATGGCTATATTTGTGGAAGACGATCAATGCAGAGGAGGCATGTTGCCACATAATCTACAGATGTCTCGATTTCAATGTGGTCTACGCATATGAAGAGCATGTTTCAGACATTTAACCAATCCAGTTCCACACTTTGTAAAACAACGTTGAAACTCAATGATAGGGCTGTTAGAGTGTCCATTGCCATGGCATATATCACGCTATCGTCTTAGTCCTCCCCCATTCTGGCGGATTCCGATCTGGATGATCGCGCTTCGCGTGTCGCGGTCGGGGCCAAAGCGGTTGCCCTTCTCCAAGGCGGCGTCGCGAGAGCGCGAGCGCGCCAAGACAATCGCATGTCTCGCTTCGCTGGGCGTGACGCACGAGGTCAGAAGACTGGATGTGGCCCGATCTGGCCGCAAATTCCGATTGGGTCCGATTTCCCGATCTGGTGCTGGCCAGGCGTCCCTTCCCCGAGGATGCGCTCCTTGGGAAGTAAAGCTCAGCATCAGCGCTCATATATCCGCGGCCGGCAGCCAGCCTGAGCCTGCATCTGCCCGCGACATCCAGCTTACACCCGCTTCAGCCAGCTTCATTATGCCCAATCGGGGCTAATCCAGCTCAGTGGCTTCTGAGCTGGGCTGGGTTTGGTAGCCCGCATGGGCGGTTCCCAAAGAGGGGGGTGTGCGGGGAGGGTCGGGGTTCTAAAATGCGGCGGGTCTTCCAGTAAAGCATGGGGGCGTCTTAGAAAGCCGTTAGGCTGTTGGGACACTTCCTTAGATATTTCCGGGGACCTTCCAAGGCGGCCCCTGTCTTCCGAGAAGTTTTTTGTCCTTGTTAGAAGGCCGCGCCGCCAACGTTGGTGCATTCCATTCGCGTTGACGAAACGTCCTGGGGCCTTGGGCGTTGATCGAACAACCCTGTCGGGTTCGCTTCCTTTATTGCGTGCGTTTGCGAAGCGGTTTCGCTTTATGGAACGGCCTAGGGTTCCGATCGTTGATTTAACAGCCTTGTCCTGTTTGACTCCTGCCGTGGGTTCATTTACGAAACGGTTTTGCTTGTTGCTGTGTTTTTCCCAGCCATCCTGTGGTGTTGGGTCCTCGTTTTGAAGAGACGGTCCCCGCGTTCCTGCTCTCCTCCTCCTTCCCCTCTTCCCCCTCCTCCCCTCCCTCCTCCTTCTTCCATGCGTTTCACCCACCCAGCACAGCGTTTCGTGGCCCCACAGGGAGCCTCACCGAAGCCCCCAGTGGCACCGCCCGCGTGCGTCCGCCACCACCCAGCACAGCCCTTGCTCCTTGCGTTTCACCCACCCAGTACAGCGCTTCGTGGCCCCATAGGGAGCTCCACGGGAGGTCCCAGTGGCACCGCCCGCGTGCGTCCGCCACCACCCAGCACAGCCCTTGCTCCCTGCGTTTCACCCACCCAGTACAACGCTTCGTGGCCCCATGGGGGGCTCCACCGAAGGTCCCAATGGCACCGACCGCATGCGTCCGCCACCACCCAGTACAGCCCTTGCTCTCTGCGTTTCACCCACCCAGTACAGCGTTTCGTGGCCCCGTAAAGGGGGGCCCGCCGAAGGTCCCAGTGGCACCGCCTTCATGCGTCCGTCACCACCCAACACGGCCCCTGCTCTCTGCTTTTCACATACCCAGTACAGCGCTTCGTGGCCCCACAAAAGGGGGCTCCACCGAAGGTCCCAGTGGCACCGCCCGCGTGCGTCCGCCACCACCCAGCACAACGTTTGCTCCTTTCGCTTCACCCACCCAGTACAGCGCTTCGTGGCCCCATAGGGAACTCCACCGAAGGTCCCCGTGGCTTTGCCCGCATGCGTCCGCCACCAACCAGTACAGCCATTGCTCCCTTCGTTTCGCCCACCCCGTACAGCGTTTCGTGGCCCCATATGGGGGCTCCACCGAAGGTCCCAGTGGCACCGCCCGCGTGCGTCCGCCACCACCCAACACAGCCCTTGCTCCCTGCGTTTCACCCACCCAGTACAGCGCTTCGTGGCCCCATAGGGAGTTCCACCGAGGGAGATATTCACAATTGCGGTATTCACAACTGCATATGGTCGCGTCCTTCGCCAGGCTAATTTTTGTATGAGGGTGGTTGTTTTGCTCTCTACACTACGTGTTCGACCATGGACCCCTCGTTGCCCATCGCTCTTGGGCTGTCTTCGGACGGGTTTCGGCGGTCTTCGACGGTATTCTGACGGTCTTCGGTTGTGTCTGGCCATCTTTGGCGGTTTCAAGCGTTTTTTCTTTCGGCGCGAACGTTGGTTGGGTTGCGTGCAACACGGGGTCCGCGATCGAACACCCTACACGAAGGCTTGCTGATTGTTTTGTTATTCGTTGTTTTGCCGATGAGCGCGGTCCCTCGCACCCCCCCTCCCCCCCTCCCCCATGGAGTAGATCTTGGCTGCTTTTGGCGCATGTTTCAAGCAGGTGGGGTCTCTCCTCACAGGACGCAATGTCGCAAACAGTCGCACTGAGCAGAGGTCCAGAGCCAGACCCCTCCCCGCCCTCCCCCCCTTCCGCCCAAGGCCGAAGCGCCGAGTGTGAAAACGCTCACGTGCCTCCTGACGATCTCCTGAAGCGGTGACGGCGCCGCTCTTGCCTCCCCCCCCGCCTCAGGACGGTGGGGGCACCGCGCTGGTGGCGGCCGGCGACAGCCGGGCGGCGCAGCGCGGGAGGCTGCAAAGGTTCAGGCGCCCTGCTGTCGTCGTTGTTGTTGCTGCTGCTTTCTTGCGGTCTCGTGTGGGGAGAGCACATCCAGGCCCCCTCGAGTCATGAAGCTGACACGACGGGCGCTCTTGTTCTTTTTGTTTCTGCCTCTGGGGGGCCCCTCCCGGGCCTCGGGACCGTCAAGAAACGACGCGGGACGTCAAACCGGTTCCGGGGAATGGGCCGAGGCTTCTGGCTTCTGGGGGTCGACGTTAGGACAAAAACCGGGGCGCCCGGGGGTCTGGGTAACCATCCGCATCCGCGGCCTCGCGGGCCAGGCTCCAGGGCCGCGGCCTCGCGGGCCAGGCTCCTGGGCTCCGGGCCAGGCTCCTGGGCATCTCTTTCCGCGGCCGCCCCGCGCGGAGCACATCCGTGCGACTAGTCCGGCGGTTTGGCGGCTTTTTCCTCGGGCTCAGCCGGCCTTAAGTCGTTCCTGCGAAGACCTCCCCTGAGTTGCCTCTTGCGGGTCGCGGGCGATTTCCTACCCCCAATCCCCGAGGTCCTCTCTAGAAGTCAGGCCGCTCAGAGAGGGGTAGACTCGGCGAGGATCCACCCTCGGGGCGCCACTCGGGCGCACCCCTGTCGAGGATGGACGCCCCGCCAGCGTGCCTCCCCGAGTTCGGAGCAGAACTTCTGTCCGGTCGAAGGCCCCGCAAACTCGGCGAGTGAAGCCGCCATTCCCCCTCTGAAAGGCTGGGTCGGACGAAAGCAGCTCCTCTCCAGCACCTGCGCCTGGCCGAGAGCGTTCCTGGGGTGCCCCAAGTCTCAGGAAAGGAAAAAACACAGACACAATTAATCGTCGACTCCCCAGAAAATATAGAAAAATAGGGAAAGTGGGGGGGAAGACAGAAACCCAGAACATATGGGAAAATATGGGAATCCTGTTGTTTGTGTGTATTTATTTGTGTGTGTGTGTGTGTGTGTGTCCCAGGGCCCCTTCAAAGTCGTCCTGCAAGGCCGCCGGAGCCTCGAGTCAGGACCCGCAGGCCAGGCGACGAGCACGGGTCGGGTCGGACAAAGAGGGGGGCAGGGGCAAGGGGTAAGTCGGGCACGTCCCTCTACGGGAGGAATATCCAAACGTAGTGTAAAGCATAGCCTGGGGACGATTTGTGGACTATTTCTGTACCTGTTGATTTTTGTTCTGGGTATTTTCTTATTTGTGGCCCTGAATCCGCTGGCAGGCGGACATGCCCGAGCTAAGGCAAGGGGGGGCGGGGGGCGAAGTCTGCTGCACATGCAGCTCGTTTTTTGCCCCGCAGCCGTGCGCGTTCTGCGTGGCGCCTCCGTCGCCGGGAGGCTTCCAGGAGAGCACGCTGCGTGAGCTGAGTCGCCAACACCCCTTTTGCTACCCCCCCCCCTTCTGGACGAAAGAGGGGGATAGGGAAAGGGGGGGTTACGAAATCTGCTGCATGCAGCTGGTTTCGGCCCCGCCGCCGGGCCCATTCCTCGATACATGGGCGCCTCCCGGCGCCAGGAGGCGCTGGAAAAAGTAACTACGTGAGCTGATTCTCAAACCCCCCCTGTGTTATCCCCCCCTTTCGCCCGACCCGACCTTCGTCCGACCCGACCGTTCTTCGCCATCGTTGTCGTAGAGTTGCTGCACTCTCAGACGAAACAGATGCATGAGCATGAAGTGATACATAGAATTCCGCGCGGATGTCGCGGGTGGGTGCTGGAAATCTTGGCGGCGCCTCCAGCCTTGCCTCCAACGCCGCCCCTGACGTGCTTCGCACGCCAATCCGCGAACATTGGCACGAAGGACGGCGGGATGAAGCAGACAATACTGAACAGACGCTGTAATGTTTGATAACGATACAGAGTGGAAAGTACCAGAACCGTCGTGCAGGAAGAGCAAACGAATTCCTCTTTCTCCTGTCCGTTGTCCAGGTCCGTTCCGCCAGCTTGAACTGCTCACATGGTATGATTACTCAGTGCTGCTACGGAACCGCCCAATCACCTGGGATCGATACCGATCACCTCGTGCGGACAATTTTCTGTCGGCCGAAGAGATGTGCGTTCGGCGCCGCCAGGCCGGCCTCCTGCAATTATTGGCCGCGCTGAGCGCCCCCGCAAAGACTTGTCTTCGCGTTGCAGGAGGAACCGGCCTCGACAATAATTGGCGCCGTCTGTGAACATCAAGTTAGCCCAACATGTTTGATTATGTTTGCAGGCGCCT